AGTAAACTTGGACAAAATCATCTAGATATCCTCTAAGTACTTCATTCATAAGTCTTACGAAAGTCATAGGCAAATTTTTGAGTCCAAACGGTAGTACACGAAATTGAAATAAGCCCCTTTTTGTTCTAAATGCCGTAAACTTACGGACTTTTTGGTTTAAAGAGCATTGCCAATAACCCGACTTTAAGTCGAGAGTCGTGTACATTTTTGCCCCTCTCATGTTCCTAACCATGTCGTTTAGATTAGGCATGGGGTACGCGTCCGAAACGGTTACTTCGTTTAGTCGTCGGTAATCTATACATAAACGAAAAGTCCCGTCCTTCTTCTTGGCCAGCACTATCGGTGCTGACCACGGCGATACACTCGGTTCTATTAGCCCCTGCGCCTCCATGTCGTTTACCATATCGTCAATAACCTCCTGCTTATGCAGGGGGTATGGGTACGGTTTTAGTGCGATAGGAGTCGGGTCTTTCAATAGAATATCGTGCTCGATTAATTTTGTGCGACCCACCGTGTCGTTAAAGACCGCTGCGTAATTACATATCGTCTGTGTTAATAACGCGCGCGTTCGTGGGTCGCCGGTTATATCTAACTGTGTCAGATCTGGTTTGCGGATCGTGTGTCGTGCGTCCGATTTCCAACAAGCGGTTGTACGTTTCCTAGTGTCTAAGTGTATTGTTCTTGCTGAGTAGTCCCAGGCGACTTTCTGATCAATCAGAAAATCATGGCCAAATAATACGTCGCAATATAGGTCGTCTAAAATAACCGCTGAAAAACGCACTTCTAGATCCGCGATTTTGGCGGTAAACGTAGCGGTACCGTTCGTCGTGGCGGTATGTCAGTCCGCTAGTCTAACGGCGTCAGTGTGTCCTTTATAAACAGTTCCGTATTTATAAGCAATTACCGGTTTTACATACGATTTATGCGCCTGTGAGTCGAGTAGGGCTGTGACGAAGCCAGTTTCGAATTCTAACTCGACTGCTGGAGTAGTAATTCTACGCGGGCATTTTCGTTGGCCATTACTCGGGTGGTTTACGGTTCGAACGGGGGGCAGTTGGTTCTTAACCGCGACGTCAGTTTGCCCACTGATAGTGTTAACTGCCATTAGTGGACTTGTCGGATCGAATGACACCCCCTCCCACACTGTGTCCGAAAAAATTTCGAACACCTGACTCGCGCTTTGTTCGTTCGTGTCGGCAGCGTGTTCGAACTCCGATACTCTGATTATATCCGAATTTACCGCGGCGTCCCCTCCATTCCGATAAGAGGGGTGCGGTACCGAAAAAGTGCCAAGATCGTTGGCGGTATGTAAATCGTAAGGGCCGTTAGATTCGGTGTTCTGTGCGATGGTCGTGATGCGTGATATGTTACCGGATAAAAATTGCGAAGCTGCAGGGCGCGTTTTAAACCAAACGTCGTCTAAAACGCTGCGCCCTGTTTGAATCTGTTGTAGACTGGAGGGGCGGACTAATTCCCTCCTAGCCGATTTCCGTTTCCCAATACCGACGGTCTGTTTGGGCACTGGCGGTGCCAGTGTCGCTCGCCGCAATATCGGCACGGGGTAGGCGGTGCGTCCGCGTGTGCATAACCCGCTCGCTGTCGAGCCGCTGGTTGTGCGGTATGCCGCGGATGCAGATCGGCTGGCTGTCGGGACGCTAGCGTACCGAGGAGCCGCGGTTTTATCTACGTCATGCACTATCTCACGTAGATCGGCGAAAGACGCTGAGTGCATTAACCGTATCATAGCGCGGTAATCGTCCCATAAAATCCCCGTTAACTGTCGCAAAAGTTGTTGTTCTGGTAACCCAAAACGTGCTCGCGCGGCCAAACGTTGTTTATGAATAATAAATTCGGTTAACGTTTGTAGCGTCGTTTTTAAGTCCATCTCGACCGCCGTCCGGATATTGATACTGTCGAACTCCTTGAGTAATTCGGACCTAAATTCCGCCCATGGCATATTTAATTTTATCGGTCGCCACCAATCACCTGCCCTGTCGTTCAAAAACGGGACGACGATATTCACCCATGCCGTTGGGTGTATACCGCCCTAACAGAGTAGATCCTCCGCTCTATCTAGAAACTCCCTTGGGTCTTCTTCGTTTCTCCCGTAATATTCAGGTAAACAGGCGCGTACGGTGCGTAGGTCGTGGTAAGGTACCAATACAGACCGCGAGCTGCGGGTAGGTAACAAATCATTGAAAGACCGACGACCGTCGGGTGTGTTGAATTGCCCCTCCCGTGGTTGGCACGTAAACGAAAAATCGGTCGGCTCGTTCTCATATGTATGAGTGCGCGGATAATGTTCGTCTTGCCAACCCATGCTACACATCCGTGGTTGCGACGCACGCGACGCTTGTCCGTACGACCGTCTCATGTTGTGGGCTTCTTGCGCTTCAATGTCCGCGAGGCGCTCGTGTAGTGTTGCGTCGTGTCGCGTCGGGTCCGTCGCTTCCGATGGACCGAATGTAACGCGATGCGCGTCCGCCGATCGTCGACTATCATTTCGCTCTACGTTAGCTTGACGAATAGTCGGTTGTGCAGCGACATGTGGGGACGGCAACATATTTTGACTGATTCGCTCCAGCATGTTTGAAATCTGGCGCTGTTCCATTGATATACGCGAGAGCGACCTTTCTAATTCAGTCATTCGTGCCTCGATCCGCGCGTTATTCGAAATGTCGCGAATGTTCTGTCGTATCGCCCCGACTTGTTCTGCTGCATGCGCTATCAAGCGGGCAACGTATACGTCCTCGATGTACGGCGCGCCTAGTTGACCGCTTGCCCGCGTAATTGCCCCCGGTTGTTCGACATCAGACTCGTCGTCTGATGTGTGTAGCGCGAGGTTCACCGGATGTTCCTCCGGTAAAGGTGCTACGCCGGGCCGCTGATTATTCACGTCGCGTTCACAGATACGGTCCGTGGAGTTGTCTAACACCCCCACTTCGTGTTCGCGGACCGGATTTTCGCTATCGAGCGGCGGTCGGGGCGGTAAAATTTCAGTAGCTGGATTCCTTTCTTCGCTACGTATGTTTTCCTCTAACATAATTAGCATGTTGGGTTTCGTCGCGTAGCATGGTAGCTGTCTAAAACCGCATTCGCGACGTAATTCAGCGCAATTCATTTGTGCTAATAATTTCCCCGACATATTGACCGTGAATATTTTGTTTATTTACAATCTTAATAATCAAATGTATGTTACTCTAATAGTGGAGATAAACAATATCTCCGTGTACTGTCAAATTTACTACTTCTGTAGAAAACAAGTGTTATTATTATTGCTATTGTTGTAATAATGACCGCAATAAGATGGTTCGGGACCGCCGTATATGATATGGCAGCGAGTGAACAATAATAATAACGGCTGTTCGCGCTGCTGAAAAATACGAGATAGCGCGCTTATTCAGTTGTGTCCACTCATCCTCCCTTCCTCTACCGGTCGCTTGGCGTCGTCGACCGGTTATCATTGCCGGTCGACATGTGTATGTAATTGTATGTAGATTATTAAAAAATTAGAAAAATGTTTTTGTTGGTTATACGTTTTTGGTAAAAATTATATCCACGTTGTTTTTTGCTAAAGTAAATGTTATTCAAGTTTGTTTATGTAGTTAGCTGCTGTAGCATAAGCAATATTGTATTATATGAGTAATGTATTTTGATGTTAAATATTAGCTGAAATTATTTAAGTCACACGGATGACATTGTCGGATTATCTAAGGTAACAATTTTATGGTTTATTTGTTGTTATATTCCACACGGCTGGATTAAGAAAATTGTGTAAGTTACACGGATGACAATTACCAATTTTAATGCATAAATCATACAAATAATCTTAGTGTATAAATTGTATATCCAACACTATTATTTATATTGAATATCTTTTTTATTTATATCTAGGTGTATATAATCAAATTCATAGTTAATAATACTGATTTATATTTATTGTTATATTTGTCAACTCTTATTACTAAATTGCACAAGGTGCTATTGTAAATTATAAATACTTAATACAATTTGAATTATTGTTATTGGTATGGAAATATAAGTAATTTTGTGCGAACTAGCGACCACAGTCTTCTTTCAAAACAAATATAAATGTCCTAAAATCCTTTCTAATTAATCACCAGATAAGCGTGATATAATTTCTCGCCCCTGGTATTAAAATTTGGTCCAATCGGGCCTGATTTATTATACAGTCCATTCGTAATAAGTTGATTTTTTATTTTTTTTTATCTAAGTCAAATTGTTAAGCAACTGTGATAAAACGTAATTGACGTGCTGCTGTGATATGTATGTATAAAAAAGAAAAACAACTATGAAGTTATAATTTTCAGCCTAAATAGCTTTTTGTTTTTTTTCTGGTTGAAATATTATTTGTAGTTTTACTTTTATACTTGATTCTTGTTTGTTTAATTATTTTTCCAGCAATTAGTTTCAGAAAAAATATTATAATTATTGATATATTTTCAATTGTTACATAAGTACTTAGTACATTATTGTTGTAAAGTGTGTGGTGTTAAATAAAAAAAAAAAAAAGGAAATTTAAAAAGAATCAGAAAGTTTAAAAACTAAAGTACAAAAAAAAAAGTAATAAAAAATAAAATAAAAATCATATTGATAAAAAATATATAATATATATACTCAGTGAAAATTAAAAATTGTTTAATTAGAGTACTAAATTGAAAAAAATATATATTGGTGGTATAAAAAAAAAAAATGAGAAAAGAAAAATTTATTAAAATAAAAATATTATATTTATAAGATCCACTCACCCACACTTATTTATTAAGTTTTTCACCTTTATTTAATGTATCTATACTGTTGGTGATTTTTGTCAATTGTTATTACTTTGACAATCTGTGAAAAAATTAGTTGGAAAAATTTGTAGTAAGTGTTGTGATATTGTTAGATTAACTATTTATTTGAACGTTTCGTTTCGTCATTATAAATTATTAGCAAGTTTTTTGGTAGTGCGGTAAAATATTTTAAGGCTATTTTTCAAAATGTCGGACGATGCCTTTGATAATGAATCCGAATTGTGTAATGCTGACTTAATCGCAGGGTTAGTGCGTAGGCGCGCTATTATAAAATGTTCATTAACTCGAGTAGCAACTTTTATCGACCGTTTTATTCCATTTCCAGCTTCTTATGCAGAAGCCGCATCTCGTTTAAATACTCTCCCTGCTATTTTAAATCAATTTGAAGATGTTCAACAAAAGGTTGAGGAAATTGACATTGAGCACGACGATGATCATCATGCTCAACAGCGCGAAGATTTTGAATCTAAGTATCATGATATGGTGAGTCGATTATCAAGATTAGTACCTGCGCTAGCACCAGCGGTTTCATCGCCTGACAACTATGCCCATACACAAGAGTCGTCTTCGCATGCCTCGTGGTTAAGGTTAGAGTCCTTGCTCACAAAAAATTTGAGTATGAAGTCGGTTACACATTTACCATCGTTACCGTTAGAGAAGTTTGACGGAGACTATATAAAATGGCCAAGGTTTTATAATTGTTTTATGAAACGAGTGAATGATGTTGCTAGTCTTGATGAGGTTGATAAATTGTATTTTTTAAGATCTTGTTTACAAGAAACGCCGCTAGACTTAATCGATGGATTAGATGTTGGCGATTCGTCGTATAGTCGGTCCTTAGCTCTTCTCAAAGATCACTATGAGCGCAAGCGATTTTTAATAGGCACCCATGTTCGATCGTTGTTAGAAATGAAAAATTTGGCAAGTTTAGATTCAAAGGATTTGCATAACTTTTTATCGACGTTTGATAAGCATGTTTAAGCTCTTCGTTCTTTAAAACGACCGGTTGAGCATTGGGATGATCTGTTAGTGGGAATAGTACGAAGTAAATTGGATCTTGCTACACTGGAAAAATGGGATTTGTCGCATAAGGCCAATGACGACGTGATGTTTATTTTTATTTTATTTTTATTTATTAAATAAACGCCCGAGGGCTCAAGTACAGTACTTAACAATATAATAATAATTTAAATTAAACAGTAATAGCAATTAATAATACATTTAAGATTAAATAACACTACAAATTATAATACATAAAATTAACAATGGGCAAAAAAATCAAAATTATTTTGATTATTGAGACGGTTACATACAGCAGATATACGATCAATAGGGTTATTGGAGCCATAAGAAGTGCGGTGAAACGGAATTACGAATATAGGAAAGGACCGAATATTGAAAGTGGGAATGTAAAAATTAAGTAGGTGTAGCAGGTCTGAGCAAGCAATGGTACCCTTTACAAGTTTTGTGAGAAAGGATGCGTCCAACAACTCTCGTCTAGTATTGAGAGATACCAAGTTAAGGCTAGCTTGAATAGAGGTTAAAGTAGAACTAGATAGATTAGGATCTAACCCAAGACGTCTTTTATAGCCAATTAACCGCAAGAAACGTCTTTGTACTCTCTCCAGAGATTCAATATGACCAATTTGTGAGGGGTTCCATAGTACTGAACAATACTCTAAGAGAGGTCTGACTAATGATATATATAAGGTTTTAATACATAATTCATCATTAAATTCCTTAGTGCATCTAGTTAAGAAGCCAAGTCTTTTTAAAGCTTTTGCGCACGAATTGTCAATATGAGAGGAAAAAGAAAGGTTAGATTGAAAGGTAACTCCGAGATCCTTGATGGTTTCTACTTCAACCAATTTATCATTGAGGATATAATAATCATAATTTATTTTGTTGTGGGAACGGGTGAAAGACATTTTTAGACATTTAGAAGTGTTTAATTTCAGACCATTATCACGACACCAAACATGTAATTTATCGAGATCTTTTTGAATAAGAGAGCAGTCATCGAGAGAAGAAACACTTGCAAAAAATTTAAGGTCGTCCGCAAACAGTAAATGATCACAATAGCTAAAGCAATTACCGATATCCATGATGAATATGGCAAACAATAAGGGCGATATGTGACCACCTTGTGGAACGCCTGATGGAGCAGGGAAAGGATCTGACAAGAAACCATTAACCTTAACTTGTTGTATTCTATCAGATAGGTAACTTTTAAACCAGGATAATAAGGGATCGGAGATGCCATTCAAAAGTAACTTAGCCAACAATAGAGAATGATTTACAGAATCGAATGCTTTTGAAAAGTCTGTATAAATTACATCAGTTTGGGTACCCGATTCCATGGATTTAGATATTGCATTATAGAAGCAAAGAAGATTCGTTTCAACTGAGCGGCCTTTAATAAAACCATGTTGGGTGGTGTTTATTAAGTTTTTGAAAGAAAAGGATAACCAAGGCATCATTAACATTTCAAGTAGTTTCGGTAAAGCAGATAATTTAGTGATTGGTCTATAGTTAGATACCAAATTTTTAATGCCTGATTTATAAATTGGAGTGATATAACTATTTTTCCATTGAGATGGGAATACTCCTTTAGATAATGAATGATTAAATAATTTATGGATAGGAACAGCTAATGAATATTTACACGAACGTAAAAGGATATTAGGGATACCATCTGGACCTGGACACGGATTTAAATCAAGAGTACTAAGGCCTTGAAATACCTCTTCAACTGAAAGCTTCAATGATGATAAATGAGTCGTGAATGGACTATCGTTAGTATCACTAATACAATTATTTATATTTGGACTTTGGTTAGAATAGACAGTACTAAAGAAGTCTTTAAATAAATTGGAAACAGCATATCCACCGGTTGATAATTTATTATCATACTCCATAGTATCAGGTATTTCGTTATCCAATTTAAGACTTTTTATGTAGCGCCAGAAAGATTTAGGATCATTAGTAAGATTTAACTGAATTTTACGTAGATATTGGTTACGACAATTTTTGCTTTCTTTTTTGCATAACGCACGAATACGGGAAAATTCATTGTATATGATGGGATCTTTTGTAATTTTGTACTCTTTATGCAAGCGTTTTTTATTAAAGATTAGTGTTTTAAGTTCTGTGCTATACCAAGGAGGATAGCTTGATTTATGATTATAAAATTTCGGGGTAAATAAGTTAATTGCGCCGGAAATGGTGGAGTAAAAATTTGTGACCATAGCAGGAAACTCTAAAGAGTCATCTAGTAACGAGTTCCAATTAATTGTATTAAAGAAGGTATTCATTGACAAATAGTTAGCTCTGGAAAAATTGTGTTTGAAAGAGTTGGGGTTAGTATTTAAAGAAGGTACATAAGATGGACCGTCGATTTGGAGGACTGGATGCGCTAAATCAATCGGAACAAGAGAGACAGGGCATTTAGTTACAGTTAAATTACAATTGTTGGAGAGGACTAAGTCTAAGATATTGTTTTTATAATTAGAAATGAGATTATGTTGATATAAATGCTCGTAATCAATAGTTTCTGTTAAGATTTTAGCCTTAAGAGAAACAGACCCTTGTATAACGTTGTAGTGATAAATATTTGGCCATTTAATATCTGGTAAGTTAAAGTCTCCAATTATTATAAGTATATGATCAGGAAAAGAAGAACGAAAATTTTCTATTAAAACACAATGGGAAGTATAGACTTCAACTGTACTATTTGGAGGGATATATAAAACTAAGAGTAAAATTTTGGAATCTGTTGTGGTGATGGATATCGCTAGACTTTCAAGATTTAAATTAGGTAATGGCAAAATATGAGAACTAAATCGTTTATGGATGGCTATAAGAACCCCCCCACCTTTAGAGTAAATACTATTAATAGTATTTCGATCATTACGATATATCAAATAATCAGACATCCCTAATTCATTATTACTAATGTCAGAGGTTAGCCATGTTTCAGTTAAAATGAAATAATCATAGTAATTTAAAGTAACAAAATTTAAACGATAAATAGATAATTTAGTTTTTAACCCACGGACGTTCTGATAATACCCGGAGAGAGTATTACATTTTTTTGTACAATTATAATTATTTTTAATATAAGAAGAATTTGATATATTACATGACATGTTAGAGTGATATGAACTTGAGCCGCGAATTAGTTTTTTTGAGCTAAAGATGGTGAACCACGAGAATACTTGATGAACCAATTACCATTGTTTGAACTGTTTCTTCTATCACGTTCGGCTTTTAACGAACGTAGGAATTTCATTTGGTACAAAGTAAGATCTGTAGTAATCCATGCGTTTCTCCATGATGGATCAGATGATAGCGACTTTTTTGATTTTAAAACATCTAAGACAGACTTAGTACTATCAAATGTTATTCTTATCGGTCTTGGTTTAGCAGATTGTTTGCCGAGACGGGTGACCGCGGATATATTAGCATCCAAATTTAACTTTATAATAAGCTCCTTAGCAAGCGAATCAATATTACTAACCGATTCCTCTATGTTAAATAACATTATATTACGAGATTTGCTGTCTCTTTCATGGATTTCACGAATAATGTCAACCCCAGAAAAATCATTAGGAGCATAATCAGATGTAATAAAATTTTTAGACTTTTTAAGGGAATCGATGTCTTTTTTTAAATCTTCATTCTCTTTCTTCAGAGAAACTATCTCTGAAGAAAGGTCATCCAATCTAGACAAGATTGATGTAGAGGTGTTTTCTTGCGTCAGTAATTTAGTATTAATAGATTGAATATCTTTCCGCATACCAATTAAGGCATTCCAGACATCTGTAAGGGAGATATCTTTTTTGCCTACGAGCGGAGTTGGTTTAGTCGGTGACTTTTGCATAGTTGTTAGATTCTATAAATTTGTTGGAAACAAAATAAACCTCGGCAGTGGTATGTACACTTGAATGGTCAAGGTCCCAATTGATATAAATTTAAAAATTTATTGCCGGTGTCGTGAACGTTATCTAGACGACTAACATATAAGTGCTAGACTTGATGGAAAAATAATAAAACTAAACTGTGACGACGGACAACAATACAAATTTATACACCGAAATTTATACTTATCGGCGAACTAATAACGTAGCTTAATCGAATGATACACGAGATTAGCACGATCGTATCGAACAAAGTATCATAATGCGGTAATGAGTGTAGATAACGGAGAGGCACAACCGAACGGACGGCACACACGTCGTTAAGGTACGAATGTCCGTTAAAATGCTTTATGACTTTCTAGAGACACGTGCTAGTTCCTTAGAGTCAATTGAAGGACAAGTAGGTCAAGGTCGTCAGGTAAACAAGTCAAAGGCAAGTAACCGTGGTTCGACTGTGTTATCGGTACAAAGAAGAGTTAAAATTTGTCCCATCTGTCACAAACTCGTATGAATTACCACTGTCCTAATTTAAATCTATGTCTTTAACTAACAGATATAGCGTGGTAAAGCAGAAGCACTTATGCTTTAACTGTCTCCTTTCGGGTCACGGTACAAGAGATTGCAAATCACAATTATGTCGGCATTGTGGTAAGAAACATAATTCTATGTTGCATGGATTACCGTACCAGTCTAGAAATGCTACTTCCACATCTAATAAAGCAGATGAAGCACCTACTAGTGCGCTAGTGCCATCAGAACAACCACAAGCTAGTTCTACGAGTTCAATAACTGTACCTGATAGTTCTGTCGCGGTTCATAATGCATGTACAAGTACCCAAGTCTTATTAGCCACCGCAGTTGTTATGGTGCAAAACAGTCGCGGTAAAAGGCTTCCATGTCGCGCCATATTGGACAACGGATCGCAAATCAACATAGTGACACAAAAAATGGCCAGGCGCTTAAACTTGGACGTTAAAAATGCCATGTTACCGATTTGTGGAATTAATGGGGTTAACACAAGGTCATCTCAATGGACAAATTTATCTTTCTTCGCTGTTCACTCTCCATTCAGTAAAACTATTGGTTGTCACATATTGCCAGCTCGTTGCCGTCACGGTCCTTCGACGTTAGTGGATGGAGTCTACCCGACAATGTACGAAATGCGTTGGCAGATCCTGAGTTCAACATATCGTCAGAAGTAGATTTATTATTGGGCGCTGAGATATACTATGAGCTAATTCGTTCACAGCCGTTGGTGATGCCAGGAAGTTTGCCTAGGTTGTACGATACGGCTCTTGGTTGGGTAATTTCGGGCCCTTTGTCAAAGGATGATGATCATAGCGTTGTCGAAGTATCCACCGTCTGTCCACTAGGAACAACCACTCCGTGGATGAATTCAGAACCATTTATTAGGCAGTCGAAACATGAGGAGAAGTTAGCGTTTGAAAGATATTTTCAAGACAGTCATAGTCGATTAGCGGATGGGCGTTTTGTCGTTCGACTACCGTTTCGAAAAGAACCATCACTGCTTGGGAGTTCAATGAATATGGCTCTCAAACGATTCCTGACACTTGAAAAAAAAATGTGTAATAATTCAGAATTGGCAACGGAGTATAAAAATGTTCTCAAGGAATATGAAGAGATGGGTCACATGTCAAAAATAGATGATACCGTCACAACACCCGGTATTTATTATCATATATCTCACCATGCGGTGTATAAAAATTCAAGTAGCACCACCAAGTTGCGAGTTGTTTTCGATGCTTCTATGAAAACCACTACTGATTATTCTCTGAATGATATTCTGATGACCGGTCCTGTCGTGCAACAAGAGCTTTTCGATATAGCGATGCGTTTCCGTTACTATTTGTACGTGGTTACTGCAGATGTTGCCAAGATGTTCCGTCAGGTCCTCGTCCATGAGAATGATCGACATTTCCAAAGAATATTATGGCGCGATGCACCTGACAAGCCTTTACAACATTATGTACTTAATACTGTAACTAAGGGACCGTTAAAGAATTTATCGCCGTTCCTTGACAAAGGGATATTGCGAGTTGGAGGTCGTTTGAAATATTCTGAATTAGATTTGAACTAGAAACATCCAGCGTTGCTACCACGCAATCATCGGTTGACTCAAATGATATTCGAAGCTTACCATAAGAAGTTCCTACATATCGGTCCTCAAGGTTTACTTGCAAATATTCGTGCATACTTTTGGCCATTAAGAGGCACAGACATAGCACGCATAACCGTTAACAAGTGTATAAAATGTTTTCGAGCAAAGCCAATTCCAATGCAACAATTTCCAAAAATGTGTGGAAATGCAATAATTGAATTAATAATTTTAATATTGTACGTCTTTAATTTATGAGGCTTTACTAAGGTAAACTCTAATGCCGCTGTTAGATACAAAGAGACCCAAAGCAAATATGGTTTTTTGGGGCCTTGTTAAATTTTGTGTTATAATCGAGACCTTTTCTTTTACTTTTTTCTAACTTTGTTGGACCAATGATTGGTTGCATTAGGTCCGCACGCAAGAAATCGCGTTCCCTAGCGCAAAACAATTCTGTAACTAATATCTAAAATTTTGTTTTGTCAAAAAAATGTGTTTTTTAGTTTTGTAAAATACATGTCACTCGTGTCTCTTGCATTCTAAACCCCTTATATCGCAGTACGAGTATTTTGTACTGAATATTTTTATTTTTTCTATCGCTTACTGATTTTTAGCTCTTGTTTTTCTGTTTGCAAGACTCGTAGCCACAAAATTTTGTAGTTATGAGGTGCATCTAAAATAACATGTAAAGAGTGCTGGTTGTATTTTCTTTCACCACAAAAAATACTTTGAATACAAATATATCTACAATATAACAAATGTCCACAATGTTTTAGTAAATTAATAATTTTTAACCTGTTATTTTACGTTATTTTTTCGATACGAAGCTGAGAAGGTATTAATTTTACTTTGATGTATTTTTTTTATTATTTATTTATTTATTTTTTGTGTCTGTTACCACTTTTTCTCAACTCTCGCCAAAACCGATTTCTTTCAACGATACGTCAGAAGATCACAAATCGTATCTAGTCAAAGACATTACCTTCAAAAATTGAAAAAATTTCCCTCGTTCCCCGTAAATAGGGGAAAACTCCAAAAAAATTACAAATTTAAAAATCGCTTATTTTCGAAATTTTTTCAATTTTTTTTACTTAAAACTGCCATAACTTTTTCAATAATGAACAAATCAATATAATTTTTTTATACAGTGTGATTTTTTTATCATAACCCACTCAATTACTTGCAGAATAATAATAATTTAACACATTTTTTTTTTTTATTATTTTTAGTTACACATTATTCTTGAATTTTTAACTATGTAATACTTTTTAAGTTCATCCCTTATGCCTTGGAAGGGGTCAACTTTGTTTTTTTAAATGTTAACACATATTTTCAATTTAATAAAATGTTTGAGTTTTTAATTTAATAGTAAATGGCATTTGAATTTTTAATATAACTTTATTAGCTTATTAGATATAAACATTTAAAGTTTCAAAATTTTGAGTTAATATACATGTATAATACACATGGGATTGTAAATACAGGTAGCTAATTGGATTTTTATGACATTGCTGTCTCAGTCACGGATTGTTTATTATCAATTATGATTATCAATAGATATACTTTCTGTATTGTCAGTTAGTGTATTTATAAACTCATAACAATGTGCCTTACTACAATTGATAATAACAATGCTGTGTACCTGCTAATATCGATGTTATAAAAAACCAATTAGCTACCTGTATTTGTAATCCCTTGTGTATTATACCTGTATATTAATTCAAAAATTTGAAACTTTAAATGATTATATCTAATAAACGAATTAAGTTATATTAAAAATTCAAATGCCATTTACTATTAAATTAAAAACTCAAACATTTTATTAAATTAAAAATATGTGTTACCATTTAAAAAAACAAAGTTGACCCCCTTCCAAGGCATAAGGGATGAACTTAAAAAGTATTACATAGTTAAAAATTCAAGAATAATGTGTAACTAAAAATAATAAAAAAAAAAAATGTTTAAATTATTATTATTCTGCAAGTAATTGAGTGGGTTATGATAAAAAAATCACCCTGTATAGATGCTTGATGTCATTACCTTTCATTTGGTATATTTTTTTTATGAATCTAACTATTTGCCCACAGGGGAGATTCACAATGACAACTTTTTCACAAAAAATTTACTTTTTCAACTGAACTTTTGAAAGTGTTCCGAAAAGTTTGACATTTTTATATATATCTTAAATTAAAGCTTATATACTATACTTTAATATTAAAAAAAAAAAAATTTTGGACGTTATTTTGTTAAATTTTTTTAATTAAACTCTATCTAAAGATTTGCATTCAAGCGTTAATAGTGATTTTTTATTTGTTTAATAAAATAAAAAAATTTTAATTAAAATTTATTCAAAAATTTAAAAGTGTTATTTTTAGACCTTTTTTTACAAAAATATGATTGGGTCAACAATAACTCAAATACTTCTTCAGTTACAAACGATTTTATACAGTAGTCGTATACAGATGATTTTTTTATCATAACCCACTTAATTATTTACAGAAAAAATATAATTTAAACAATTTTTTTTTGTTGTTATCTTTAGTTACACATTATTCTTGAATTATTAACTATGTAATACTTTTTAAGTTCATCCCTTATACTTTGTAAGGGTGTCAAATTTGTTTTTTAAATGAGAACACATATTTTGAATTTAATAAAATGTTTGAGTTTTTAATTTAATAGTAAAGAGCATATGAATTTTTAATACAACTTTATTATTTTGTTAGATATAACTATTTAATGTTTCTAATTTTTGAGTTTATATACATATATATTACACGAGGGATTACAAATACAAGTACCTACTTGGTTTTTTTTATGATATCGATATTCACAGGTACACAGTATTTCTTATCAATAGATAAGGTAAGGCACATTGTTGTGAATTTATAAATACACCAACTGGCAATACAGAAAGTATATCTATTGTGAAAGTATATTTATAAAATTGACAATATACACTCGGTATCTGTGACAGCTATCTCATAAAAAAACAATTAGCTACCTGTATTTGTAATCTCTCGTGTAGTATATATGTATATTAACTCAAAAATTTGAAACTTTAAATAGTTAAATTATACGTGTCAAAACTTGATGGGACATCCTATTTATGTACATCAGATTCTGACATGAATTATGTATGCTATTATTAACATACATAATTTTCTAATTTTGTGTGGAGAGACTAAGTCTCCCTCTAGAACTCCTTAGTTACGCTATTGATAAGAGGGTCAACAATTTTTGAGCCAATATATGAATAAAATTTATTTTTCCATGTAAAATATTTAGAATGAACTTCACTGCTATAAATAGATCTTTGAAATATTTTTTTAATCTAATTAAACTTTAACAAAACAATTATTTGCATTACTAATTTTAATCTATCTTATCTAAACAATATGATGATTGACATTTCACTAAAAGTTATATCTATTTTTTTAATTAATGAATCTTAATTAAAAGTGTAAATAAGGAGGTTAATGTAATTAAAACTCCTTATAAATTATCTATAGATCTATGTCTAATTATTATTTTGTTCTAGATGTATTTCACTTTCACAAATAGATGGGGGGAGGAAGAAGTAATAATAAAAGAGGGCCACCACCGCCCAATAAAGTTGAAATTAAGAAAAAATTTAGAGGTGGTAAGTTATTAAAATTTATTTTACATAATGTTCTATTACTATAGAGGTGAGTGGGGTAATTGTTAATTTATATTTTCTCCAGGATTATTTATCAGCTTTTATTTTATTTTAAAAGTTCTGGTCCTTATATGTGTTACTATCATTAAATATAACATGGAAATATAATCATGTGCATTGATCATTTAAAATACATTCATAACTACCCCAATTTACCTTATATTTGGATTTAAAAAAAACTTTAATTGAAGATTACAATGATTTACACTATTTTTATCAATTTCAGCTTGCAATCACTGTGGCCAGAATGGCCACATTGTTAATCATTGTCATGTAAAAGGTAATAANACATTGTTAGTCATTGTCATGTAAAAGGTAATAATTTTGTTTAATTCTCACTAGTAGTATAACCTATTATTTAGTTAGCAAATATTGGGTTATACTTTCAATGTGTTTTTATTCATGTATAATGTTTAATTTTGTCATTATACTTAATTGAGACTAATAAAATTATTGCTAATTTCAATTATTTTTTTTAGCTGCTGGTCTGCCTCCAATGGAGAAAAAGTGTTCATATTGTGGNTATTATTGTGGTCTCCCCGGGCACGGGGAAATGGAATGCCATGTCAAAGGTAATATTTGTGATATATTTCTTTTTAAATTTAATAACATTCTAAAAGTAATTTTTTCTCATCTAAAAACTGTTTTTTTAATTTTTGTGTCTTGCNACTGCCAAATACCATAATTGAAGAAAATATTGTGGTATTAATATTAAATGAATAGTGTAAATACAAAAGGGGACTTGACCATCTTCTTGGTGGTCAGTGTTTAATCAGTGAATGTTGCATTATAATTATTATTTTGACTCTTCATCACACTTATCCGCGTGATAGAACTTGGACTTGGAACNTCCGCGTGATAGAACTTGGACTTTGAACACCCAGTTCATCACACTCTATGAATCATGAAAACTACATTTATTAAACAATATTCATAATTGTGATTTATTTTTACCTCAATATTAAAACCTTATTTTTTAATTACAGCAGCTGGATATCCACCATTGACAAAAACTTGCGAGCATTGCCATTTCCCCGGGCACGGGGAACAGGAGTGCCACATTAAAGGTACTTATTTATTTTAACATTTTTTTCATTTAGTTTTTTTAAGGTCTGTTGACAACCTTTATAGGATGCATTTTATGTTTCTAGTAAACAAATTTAATTTGATTTTTAAATTTCAGTTGTTATATACAACTTTAATTTTTAAAAATCGATACATACAATTGATATTTTTATAATTAATTAAACAATTGATTAAAACAATAATATAAAGTTAAATA